CAAAAAACTAATTTCGCATTTTTTTAATACTTTGCATAAAGATGTCTCGTATTCGACAGCGACCTTCAAGCTACATGACACTACCAGTGAAAAGGAAGAAGGTGAGACGAAGGCCAATCGTCACGTAAATGCATACGTCTCAGTAGCATCTGATTAAAAAGAAGAGAACGTTTTAGGACGGGATTGCAATGCACATGAGACAATGTTTTCTGTTTTATTCGATTTCAAAAAACTGAAATATATAAAGAATGCATTTTTTAGTCAACGTCTTCAATGTATCAAGTACGTTGAAAAAATAGTGTTCTGATATAATGAAAAATTTATCAGAGCAGCTGTATGTTTGGTGAAATCTGTTACTCATGAATAGACTCATCGTACTGTCGTTATTCATAAATTAAGCAAAAAGTATCAAAGTTATTTAAGTTGAAAAATATCTTATGCAGGCATGATATTGATTTATATTGTTATGCTTAAATACCAATACTAGGGCACTCATAAATACGTTCGATTATGAAAAAGCCGAAGAACAAAAATTGAAATCATGAAGCGATACTTCGCTTACGTTTTCAAAAATCGAAACAGAAAATTAAAATTGTACCTCATTGTGATCGATACTAGATTCTACTACAGTGATCAAAAAGAGAAGAAAAAAGACTACTATATCACATATTTTATTTGAAATGTTGATTATATTAAAATAAATCAGAGAATAGTGGCTCTTTATTCATTAATGATAAAAATGGATTCGGTGACCGAATTTACTCAGTTCAGGTCAGAACCGGCAACCGGATATGATCATCAGATTTCTGCGTCCAAGTTCCTACCGTTGTCCGGATTTGTCTGGTCGGAAACGGTGACTTTTCTGCGAGTTTTCAACAGGAATCTTTGGATCTGATCGCTGAAACTATTGATCTGGAAATGAAAATTATCATTTATCGTGTCAAAAAAATCTGACTTTTTACTACTAATCCAATTGACATTTGCAAGAAACGCAATGACAATAACTAATAGAACGCATGATTACAATTATAGTATTGAGCTGAATCAGTCAAAATCAATTCATACACTACTATTTATCTTGAAAAAATGCTACATAATATATAGATATTATGATTTGAGCTATCGTATAGAATAAAATAACAGTTTTACACTAATCCTCACTGATAAAAATATGAAAATTGTTAAATTAATAAATCAATGTTGTATACAGGCTTAAGTACTATTTTTGAAAGTTATTCAACTTGTTCAAACAATGTATTGTGTAATTTAAATTTTATTTTTCTTTTCGATGATTTGAAACACTGTTTAATTTCAGAATATTGATAAAGATACATCATTTGTCATTAAAATTATATTGACATTTCAGAATTGTATGCAAGAGAAAGAGAGAAAGATTTGTTGATTTTTTTTTAATGAATAATCTAATTGTGTACATACGTTTTAAACATTGTCTTTCAATTGAAATTGTTTTTCGACTTGCTACTCCTATCAAAAAGAGTGACAAGGTGTAACTGATTCTAATAAGTTTCAATTTCATCTTTCATTCAGGAGAAGAAGCATCATTCTTCTCTAGAATGAACTTGTATTACTTTCATCATCATTCAACATATGCCAACAAATAAATTTATATTCAATTGAACTGAATTGTTACCACATTGTAATCAGAACAAAAGAAAAACAACGACAAATATGTATTTTATCTGAAGATTTTTACTAAATCTAATCAATGATACAGATACAAGATAATTATTTTACTTTGTGTATCAATTGTATTAAACAATGTTTATAAATCTTAATTACATGTAACATCAAATTTTAATTAGAAATAAACAATATAAATCTCGATTTAAAAAGAAACGAGACTACAAATAAAAAAACGAAAATAAAACACCAGTCACGTCCTTTCTATAAGAACGGAAAAAATAAAAAAAAAACATCTGATTGTCATTAATACAAAATTATTTGTTTTCTTGTCTTTCTTCATCACGTAATGGCTTTTGAGCGTTTACAGTAGGCCTAAATAGAAAATTTTTTTAATATTATTACATGATAATTAATTATTTTTACTGTTGAATTAAGTTGTTTCTTTCACTAAAATACAAACATGAATAAATATAAAATTCGAATATTAATAAAATATAACCTGGGGGAAGCTGGACCCAAATTAGGTGGATTTTCATGATTCTGATTTAATGTAACTCGGCTTCGATTGACGATAAAGATAATAATAATAATAGCAACAATGACAATAATACTCGATACTGTTCCAATAATAACCCATTTACTTGGGAATCGATTTTTAGATCGTTTATCGGACAAATGTGAACGAGGATCTAGAATTAAATGCATATTACATGAATATTATTGATATATTTTTTTTTATCTGATAAAAATGACTACTACAGATACTACAACTAGAAAACTCAATTCTTCTATATGAAAATGAAAAGATGCACTTGATCTATAAGCCAAATCTCTGTCTGCAAGAAAGAATATATTAATATCATCAAATAAATTAATCATAATACTGACTTACCAATACGTGATCTACTAGTTTTCTTTGAAATTGTTTGTTCACCTACACCAGCTTCATTTAATAGACGAACTCGAATTAAATAATTTGTATCTGACTGAAGTCCTTTCAATTCAAATTCACTAATCAATGGTTCAACTTGTATTGCAGGACTCCATTGTTCTACTACATTTACACCACGAACCTAAAAGCAAAATAAATATATGATAAAAATTTCATCGAACATATTTACAAGATCTTTAAAAGACAAAAGAAAACATGTAGCCACATTAGCAAAAATACTGAACTTTGGGTACCCGAAAAATACAGTACCATCAGTATCTTATTGATACTTGAGCGGATATCGTATCGAAAACTGTTCTAGTATATAGATCCTTGAAAGTATCCGTAAGGCTTTTGTTCCAGTACTTCCTAAAAACTTGACATTCAACATTGAATATGTTTTTTTTTTAGGTTAGATAACTGAGCAATCAGAAGCATCGCATTTTCTCAGACACAAATACTTATTAAGTGTTCAACAGTATTCAAGTAAGGAAATGTACTGGTGCCATACTGGTTCTAGGATATCTCTTCGAATATTCTAAACTCAGCACTTTTACTACGAAAGCAAAGTTCAATAACTTCGCAATTAGATATAACTAGTTCAGGTAATAATTTGCATCATGATATTGTTTATTCGTTTGACAAAACAATGATACTGATCTTGATCTTAGCTCCAATGTGACTGAAATTCGTTTGCTCAGATCTATTACAGAGTTGAATAAACTTACTTTAGCATAAGATATTTCAGCTCGTGAAATAGGGGAACCACCATCAGATTCAATAATCCATTTAATTAAACAAGATTGATCATCAAGACATGATATATCTGATGAAAGAATTTTAAATTGTGGAACTTGTCGATCAAATGTTTTCAATTGATAAGGTATAGAAAGAGACCCTTGTCCAGCACGAGATTTTGCCATTATTTGTATTCGATATAAAGTTGATGGTTGAAGAGATTCAATAATAAGAGATTGAGGTTCATTCGATGCAGCTAGAATTTACGAATAATCAATAACAAAAAATAGAGTTTTTTTTTTTCTTCATTTTTTACCTGGAAAAGTGAGTGTTTTAAGTGAATTAGGAACACCAATTTGCTCATAATTAACTAAATATTCAAGTAAAGGTAGACCACCTATTTCCAATGGTGGTTGAATATTTAATTGAATTGAATTTGATCTTGGTTTAACTTCAACTACACGAACTTGTTGAGGAGGTTCAGCACGTCGAAGACTTATTGAATATCTTTCTATTCGAGGATTAATAGCACGACATTCGAAAATGAAACCAAAATCTTGTTCCAATGGATTATACTATATAAAAATTATTCGACAAAGAAAAAAAAAATAATATAGAAAGAAAGATATTTACTGTTAATTGTGTTTCATAAAGTGTTGGACCAATTTGTCTAGTTAATATATCGATTACTTGTGGATCATTATCTTGTATAAGTACATGACCACCATCGATATCTTTTAATCTTCGAATCATTCTTATCCATTGAATTGTTGGAGGAGGATAACTATCAAATTGACATTTCATAATTGCTAAAAAAGAAATAATGAAACAAATAAAATTTATCTTTTATAAATTGAGATTTTTACCTCGATAGTTAGGAACGCTGAATATAACAGGTTTATCTGGTCCCATGAAAACAGGTTTATCTAAAATGAATAATGAATAAATAGAAAAGAATTATTTGAAGATTTTAAATTACATTCAACAAAAAGATTAGCAATAGTTGATGTAATATCGGCTAGATTTTTTGCTAAACATGTATAATTTCCATGATGTTCTCGACGTACAGGATCAAAACGTAATTCAACAAAACGATTCAATGCTAATTGACTAACATCAATCGATATACCGTTGATAGGCTATGAACAAAAATAATAAATATTTAATAATCTTTTCTTATTGTATTTAGAAATGTGTAGTTTCGGTATAAATACGGAAAGAAATTCAAAAAAAATATTACTATAATGCATCAAAGTTTTCTTTTGATCTGAATCCGATCAACGTTAAATTTTCAGATCCGAACTCGATAAACTCTTATCATTGGGACACGAACAGTCACAAGCATCCTAATGATACTAGAATTGATGTTCACTGAAACTTAGATCCTCAATTCCATTTGAATCTTACTTGTACAGGAGTACCATCAATAAGAACCCATTCCAAAGTGAGACTTTCTGCTGAACCACGTAAAACACGACAAGTAAAAACTGCTCGTTGTGGTGGAGTAGTTTCATCGAGATTAATTTTTATTGGAGGAATAGGTGCAAGACGAGGTGGAACTAGAAAATATCATAAAAAAGAAAAGATAACTTTATTAATTTTGAATTGTTTATTTTTTTTTTACCAATAACATTAAGCATATATTCAGCTCGTTGTCCACGTCGATCATAATCATTAAATGCTTGACATGAATATCGACCATTATCTGTTTCATCAACATAATTAATAACTAATGTATTTCCACGAACAATAAATTTTGATATTACATTTGTACCAATTGGAACATCCTATTAAAATAATTATTACAAATACTTATTGGTTTTTTTTCTTTTCTCTATTATAAAATTTCAAAATACAAACTTGTCCATAAAACCAAAGAATTTGTGGTGGAGGCATACCACCTGCTTCACAAATTAAAGTAGCAGTTTGTTTTTCAACAGCACACGGAGCTGCACAAACAATTCTTGGTGATGTTATAGGTTCTAAAATATTTTATTAGCAAAAAAGAAATATTCTTTTGATACTAGTGTATGTGTTTGTTTTTTGAATGACATACGAGCAATAATAACTTGAATAGGATAATCTTTTGATTCTCCTGTTTCAAGTACATCAGCTTGACACCAAAATAGATCATTATCAGCTAATGAAACTCGATTAATTTTTAAACCATCATTACTTCGTTCATAATTTGATGATATTAAACGAGTTTTATCACGTCCTTTAAACCAAGATACTTCAGCAGATGGATTTGCTAATACTCGACATTTAATTAATACAGCTGAATCTAATTCAGCATATTGAATTGGTTCACCCAAAAATGTTATCGGAACTAAAAAAGGAATAAACAAAAAGTCATTAAACAATTGTTTTGTTTCTGCATGAAATCTTAACCTTTAACATTAATTTGTAAAGTTCGTATTAATGGTCGTCCAGCTAGATCCGATCCTAAACATTCCCATATTCCTTGATCACTTCGTGTTAAATTTCTTATGCGCAATCTTAATCCATATGTCTGACGTTCGACTGTCACTCTATATAAAAATAGTTAGATGAAAGAAATAAAATATTGATATGCTTAATTTACCTTTCAGTTTCATCTTCTTTGATGTCAATTTGCAATGGAGATCTCCAAGTAGCTGAAATAACGAATAATATAACATTCAATAGAAAATGAACAATAACACAGACCAACTCGAGTATTTGGTAATCCAGTGCATGAAGCAACAAATGATTTAAATTGATCACGTAACACTATTGCTTCTGATGGTTTTATAACCAATTGACCATATATATTATCAATGAAATAAATCACTGAAGTGAATATTGTAAACATGATTTCTACTTGATAAAAAATAACTTACTCAACAATATTAAAATACGTGTCATTCTTTGCATTTGTTGTTCTTTCGAACTTAACAACTATTCTTTTTTTTCTTTTATATCTGACAAATACAAACGTGCCTAAAATAACATTTCTTAATATAAATATGTATCAAAATGATTTAAATTAATATTTCGAAACCAAGAATTATTATAAGATTAGATATTTTTATTTTGATATAGAAGACAAAAGAACGATTAAATGATTTCTCATGTATTGAATATCAAAAATTTAAAGAATGTTTTCTTAGAATAAACTATAGTAGGTATGACAAACTATATTATATTTGTTCCCTTCATTCAACAACTAATCTATGGTCATCTTCAATAAATTATTCGTATAACCTCGTTCTACAAGCATACAAACCATTATTCTTATCGTATCTTGTGATCGAACAAAAATTTTGATTTATTAAGAACTCACTCAATTTACCTTCTTCTTCATCCGCTACTCGTGATTATACAGCCGATATATGTCCATCATTTTTCGTTTCTATAAACGATTAAAGTCAACAAACGTGTACAACATCATTACAACAATGAATTGTGTTTAATTTTATATTTATTATATCGGATACGTTAATACATTCGAACGAAACTAATTGGAGTAATATTTACATAGCTATGATTATTCGATATTACAGATTGAATTTAAACTTTCGATACGAATATTGATCAACATTTGTTTATACTTACTTTGATATAAATGATGGCGCTAGTCTCTTTCGTTGTTGTTATTTCTTATACATATGACCTCGGCTTCAACACCACTCGCCAACTTCACCATCGTAAAATTCAGTCTTTTTTTTCTTTCTGTCGTTCGTGTTACTTTATTTTTTTTTTCGTTCGTCTATGTTCTTGTGTCAATAGAGACACACTTCTTTCTATTCTCTCACCTTCATCGGACAACGATAACTCATGGATGAGTACAAAAAAAAAAATACAATACTGATTTTATTGCAAAGAAGTATGAATGACCTTCAATAGCTAAAAAAATAATACCAAATAAAACAAAGTGATCAGATATTTGATCTTCCATAATGAAAATTTTGAATTGATTAAAGTGTTTTATTTTTCAGATAGAAAAATAAAATTCGCTCAATGAAATAAAGACAATCAATTAAGAAAAATTTTCCACTATTGTCTACTGATAAGATAAGACTGTTTTTATTAGAAAAATTATTTTTTGAATTGAAGAAATTTGTAAAATGTTCCCAATCATAAGTTGTTATCCTATCGTAATAATTATTTTAATTATTGAACTCATTCACATTAATTAAAAAGATCTATAAAAACTTTTTATGGAATTATCAGAGGCTAAATTTTTTTATTGACGTATCCTACTAAATAATTAGCAACATTTTCTTTATATGTATTAAATACCAAAGAATTCTCTGTAAAAAAAAAAAACCTATCTCTTATTGTGTAAAACATTAGACACGGTAGTTAAATCACATTGATATTGATCATAATCCAAGTAGCTTTATGAAACATCTATTGAATAGTGCTATCTTTCTAAACAATACAATATGATAAATTGCGATTAGAACTTGGACCAATTGTGATATTTTACGACCATTCAAAATATTGTTGATTATAGAAATCGATATACTCTCCTATAATAGGTTTCTATTGAATAATACCAATAATGGGTTTATACATGTGATATAACATTAAGTTGATGAGAACACTGAAAAATTAAACTCTTTATTCTGATCCACGTCCATAATTTTCAAATTTTAGTGATTGATGAATTCTCAAATTAAAAATACTCTTTGACTCAAATGGTAGATCATTTGTTTGAATAAAATTTCGTATTAAGAATAAGTGATAACAATCAACAAACAATGTGAAATGACAGTATATTCTGCATAAAATAGATGAATAAGATTTCTTACATCGATTCCTTTATAAAGGTCCTAGAAGATATCTATAAGATACAGGCAAAGACATTTCAATTTTATTTTTCTAAGCCAATTTTTTTTTTATTTTCGTACGAATAGTATCGACAGTAACGGTCATAATTTGATCACAAAAAATGTATGAGACTTTACAGTTGAAATTTGTACTAACAAGCTAAACGCTTCTCACTTATGTGAAAATTCACTTTGTCTTCATCAATGATAAATAACAGTAAAAGAAATCAGTATTTAAGAAACTGATAGTTTTGATTGAAGAAATATCATTCGCTGACGTAAATATACGTATTTTAATTGAAATCAATCTTTTAACCGAGTTTAACAGAAAACAACCAAATGTTGATTTGTTCTATTTCAATATGAAAAACTTTACGAGCATTTGCGCATTTGATTATTTGCATTTTCAAACATATGACAATCAATTCTAATACACTATTTATCAAGTATTATATATCAGTAGCAACAAAACAAAAGTATCACATATCCATAGGAAAGACATCAAAAATATCGAAGACGTCACGTTCACCTTTAATGAAAGAGATGTTAATCCTTTTTAAATCTCAATCGAATGACGTCACACTTGTTGATATCGCTTTTGAGTTCCTATTACTTAGTTGAATATATTACCTTGATTATTAAACATAATGAAAATATTTTCAATATCTTATTATGCGAAAGTTTTATTTGCATTTCAATAATCACTCTTTGTTTTAAAGCATAACCAATCAAAATGTAAACATATTCCTGATTCAATATACTAGTAACTTAGAAAAAGAAATCTTCCATACAAAAAACATTCAATCGTTCATATCATAATGTAAGCCAATTTCATACAAACTATAAATCTATGTGATATATATCATGGTTCAGTTTGATTTGATGAAGACACTAAGGGCGTTGGTGATCTGTAAGATATTTGACTTCGTGTTCCACATATACTAAAACTTGTTGAGGGTGATTGAATAAGGCCTTCATATCGTCCATTTCGTTCTACAGAAAAGACGATAGCCATGCCTGGCCAAAGATGCCATTCCATGTGACAATGGAACAACCATGGACCTGGATTGTTTGCAGTAAATCGAAAGACAACATAACTTACACGTGGTACATTAAATGAATCACCTACACTAAGGACAGGCGGTGTTGAGTTAAGAGGGGGTAAAATAGTATTATAGTCAAATTGTTTCAGATATTTTCGTGTATGATTACATTTCATCGATTCTGGAATGGGAATTTTGCCTGCAGCTATAAAATCAACTACATATCCATGCAGATGCCAAGGATGCAATTGTGGATCATAATTAATCATTAACACTTCATAGGTTTGACCATATTCAAAATGTTGAATATGAGTTGCATGAATATTGTTAACACGACCAGGTTTTTCGTTTGCAAGAACATGTTTAAATGTACCATCGAAGAAATTAGCATGAAGTAAAGGTTCTTTTGGTGGCTCGAAAGTTATTCCGTTAACAACCCATTCTTCTAAAGAATCAATACCAGTACGATTATTCCATTCGACGTGGAATTCAAGTGTAACACGACGAACGGCAGGTGAAGCTAGACGAGGTTTCAATGGTTTTAGATATTTAAATTCGAAAAATGAATCATCTGGACCCAAAATAAGATCTTCTATGGAATGAACTGCATGTTTATCAACTTGTAATTTTGAATAAGTAAGTAATGCCCACGTCCACATGGCTGGTGTTTGTCCAGCAATATTTCCAGAAGGCTGATAGCTATTTCGACTAGCTACATATATAGTATATTTTACCGTTGGATCTTGATTACAATCAACAATCAAATCAAGTCGTTGTCCAATAGCAATATGCACCTGAGGAACAGTAATGGGCACGGTTTCAATACTGTCTCGAGCAACAATCGTTAGATTATGCTGATCAATCCAGAAACGAAATGGAATACCACTAGCAGCATTAATTAATCTTAAACGTATTTGTTTTCCGTGTGGACATAGAAATTCGTCGGCAGAATGTGCATTAGGATTGCAAGGTCCAAAAAAAGATGATCGAAGTGGTATACATTGATCAACATGTTCATAACCACAAGCGTCTAGCCAACTACCTTTATCAGAACAATTTGACGTACGACAATCAAATGTACCATGTCCATTAATTAAGAAAGAAGTGGGTGGCCATGGATAAACAGGTATATTGCCTCGATAGGCACCATACGGACCTTGATATGCAGTCATAATATCAGACCATGTTTCATGATACCATTCTTGTAACATTATAATATAATCGTTTGATCCATAATCATATCGTTGTTCAATACCATCATGATCAATTATAATTGGACCTATTAATCCATCTGCATATTGTTGAGCATTATGTGAATGATACCAAAATGTTCCTGTTTGTGTTACATTAAATTCATGGGTGAATTTTTCATGTGGATTAATAGCACATTGAGTAATGTGTGCTGTACCATCAGCCCACGGATTACTGACCATATGAAGACCATGAAAATGAATAGCTGTTCCTTGATCCCGTAACATATTAGTAATATGAATACGAAGTCTATCACCAGACTTTGCTCGAATGAGAGGACCAGGAAAAGGTCGATCAACATCCCATGATGAATTAGCATGATGCATAATGGTTACAGATCTAGGATATCCATCAGGATTCGATGGAATACTTCGAACGATGAAATCATATTCGACAAGAGCTGTTTCAACGACAAGATCATCATAAAATAGAAGCAAGCAGAAAATGAAACGGATGAACATTATTTCTTTTGAGTTCAAGTGCATTGAGTGATGTAGTATTGGCTTGTATTGGTTGCTTTCTAAATAATAAAAATTTTGCTAATGTTTAAAACCAATAATTCTATTCGATATAAAAAGCAAAACTGTTTGACAAGAAAAACGTCACTGTCAGTTCAGCTGAAAGCTGAATATGTATAATAATTAGTTTAAAAGTAATCGATGAAGGTTAGTAGTGCTTCCACATTGATAAGCGACTTGAACTAATGCTCTACATACCTAAATGTGCACGTTCTTTTTTTGTTTCTATCGTCTAAAGTATGGATATATATATATATATATGCAATTGAAAATGTCTAATCCTGTCATCCTTATTAATCTTAAAAGAAAGGATTAAGAATAGTCTGTAGTGTAAAACGTAGAAAAGATTGAAAGTTTCTATCTTCCATATGCAACATGTTTGACTAGCATCAAGTTAAATATTTTCTACAAAAAAATAATAACCCATGCAATCAATATATAATATTTATTTTCCTTTGAAATCTAAAATGAACCACAAAAGTTTAAGACACCGTTTGTGCTTTTTTCATTCTTCTGAAGCCTATGTCGACGATATGCATTTTTCGGGGAATATGTATTGTTGATTGAGCGATCTAACTAAATCAGTTAATCCTTGCTGAGGCAGTCACGTACTATTCAGAAATGGCAAAAAAAACATTTTTTTTTCTCAGCAGACAAAAGTTTACGACACTTTTAGTATTTTATCGATTTTCTCGTAATATGAGAATAGAAGGAACTAGAAAAATATACTATTCGATGCAGAATTTAACGGGGTTACATTTCAGTATAAATTTTTTTTTTTTTGAGAAATGATTGATTATAATAATTGAATACGAATTATCATTAATTTACGTTAATTAATAATTATTGATTGGATTTTAGTAACTCCTCTCATTGAAGTTTGTCAGAGTTTTTTGTGATTCAATTGATAATCTATTAATAATGAATAAAAATATGTTTCAAGAAGAGGTTTCAGAACTCTGAAACATCATCGAATGAGACATTTGGATATTTTTTTATGATGCATTGTTGGAGAGATGTTACATTTGAAGTTTGGAAGACTAATGTCAGCAGTTTTTTTTCAGTGAATCTTTCCTTATTTTGCACACTATTATATTCAAGATGTTTTATCTCTTCAACAATGCGTCATAAAGAATATTCAAATGTGCTTTAAAAAATGCAGTATGTTCCAAAGTTCTGAAGTCTCCTCCCGAACTACATTTTAATTCATTATTAACAGATTATTGATTCAATCATAAAAGAGTCCTTACAAACTTCAATGAGATCAGTTACTGAAAAAATAAAAAGTAGACAGTTTGGTTCAGTTTTTCGTGCTCTTTCTAATGATATACTTGGAAAAAGAAAACAGTGAAAATATTCAGTCAATAATTATTAACTAACATTAATTAATGATAATTAATATTCAATCATTATAATCAATCATTTCTCAAGATTTTTTTATATCGAAATGTAGCCCGTTTAATTTTGCATCAAATGATGTATTTTTGAAGTTTCTTCTGTTCTCCCATGAGGAGAAAATCGATAATATACTAAAAGTATCTTGAATTATTGACGACTGAGAAAAAAATATTTTTTTTTGTCATTTCTGAATAGTACATGACTGCATCAGCAAGGAGTAACTGATTCGGTTAGATCCCTCAATCAGCGATACAGATCGCCGAAAAATGCATCTCAGTAATATATGCTTTAGAGATAATGAAAACAAAACAAAAAGGGTCTTAAACTTTTGTGACCCATTTTAGGTTCTGATTTTGAGAAAAAAAGTTATACAACGTCAATTTTCAGATTGTAGAGCAATTTAATAGCAAGTTTAGTATACAATGTTTGTCTTTTCTGCACAATCATTCAATTTAATGTTCGAAATAATTAGCATAGTGATATGTAAAACTCTTGAACATAATTAATTACAAAAGCAAATCATTGGAACTGTTGTTGTAATTTACAATGGGATATATATTTTTTCGAAGAATCGAATTTCAAACAATGTGAGTGAATAGTAAATAAACAAGAATGACGAATGAGAGCTCTACTATGTTGAATTAATATGACTCATTTCTAGTGCTTAGTCATCATATGAGAAAAACGATGAATAATACGGAACATTGTTTTTCTCGTCGGTTGTCTAAGTAAATGAATACGTGTAGAAAGAAAAAGAACAGAATCTAAAAACATGTTGTCGATAAAAAAGAAAGGAAGAAGAAAATGTAGGATAGTAAATATGAATAAATTACAGGAGAATGAAAAGTCTGACATGTTGACAATTGATAAGAAAATATACTATTTTTTTCATGTTATGATGAAGTATGAGTAATTAATAGAATTTCATAAAACAAGGCATAGAGTCCTAGTTCATCTGAGCACTCAAGAGAATATTTTCTATTTTTATTCTTAATGTTGTTTTTTTTTTGTATCATACTTTTTCGTTTGTACTTTGTACTTGTTTTTTTCAACTTAAATATAGTAATATCATAACAGTAACTAACATCTCTTTTTTTCTTTCAGATAAAAAAATGGATAGGCGTCGAAAATCTAAGCTGATAAAGGTACACACAGATGAATCCGTGAAAACTGATCAAACACGACGTAGTCCACCAAATGTGACATGGAACCATTCATGGTCAGTAGATCAGATACAAAATGCATTGATAGAATCTCATTTTAAATTATTGCCTACTGAAGTGATGTTGCATATATTTAAATATTTGTCTGTACATGATTTAAGTAATGTTTCATTGGTTTGTCGTTCATTTAAAATGGTTGCCGATCAAGATGATATTTGGAAATTAAAATGTAAATGTAAGTTTATTCATTTCATTTTTTTTTTCTTCATTTAATTTATGATTATTATGATATAGCAACAACAAAGTTACATTCAAAATCTTCCAAACAGATTTACATGGATTGGATGTATGAAAAATATTTACGAAACATAGAATTAGAAGAAGTCGAAGCTCTGTATCGTGAACGAAGATCGCATGTTGCTTGTGGAATGCGATGCGGACCACCCCAATATCCTATGCGACCAGCAGGCAAACATCACTTCGTACCCATTGGTGATTTCAAACAACATCCAAATGAATCCGAAACAATGTAAAAGAAAAATTCGATAAATGGATAAGCGATATAGTACATATCGTACTTGAGATCAAACCAGTAAATCAGTACCGAACCGGCTGGTTAGCAGATTACTGGTTCGGTTCGGTTCGGTTCGGTTGAACTCTAAAAAACCAGTCGGTTTTTCTAATTGATTTTTGGGGACATTAAAGCTGACCTATTTCTCTCACTTTTAACGATTTTCATGTTTTTAAAGATCAAAAGACACGAGTCTCGCAATGAGGGTTTCAGGTCATGCTGAATAAATTTATTATGCTCATGAACAGTTAGATACATATCAGAAGTTAATTTCGATCTAAATTAAAGATTTTTACCTCGAAATTTCTAGCGTACGTTTCTGAACTACTTTCAACTAACTCTCACACAATCTCAATCGCTAGTAGTTTTCAGATCATGTTTTCATTTCAAAAAATCTCAGAAGAATTCCGTTCTTTTATCAAGATCTTGTCGAATACTACGTAGTTTTATACAATTGTGAAAATATTTTTAAATATTAACAAACCTTTGACTAGGAATTGTAATGCAAAAAAAACTTGTACACTTTAGCTCACCTTATCTTGGTGTCAGTAATAGCATCCTTTTATGGCTTGAAATGCTTTTCAGCTATGTTAAATGATTATTTCAAATCAGTAAGGATCATAATTGACAATTGTCAAATACTAGATGCCACGTTTTGAAAGAAATCTTCATTCATCCTTAAAGTTAGTACTAATGCAATGTGAGAGACTAAAATAGGAGCTGTTACTATTAGAAGCTCGGAAGATTACATGATTTTTACATTTTATGCCTTCGTAGAATTGAAGTGATAGACTGTTTCCAGAAAGAATACGTTGCTTCATCGATATGTTAAGTGTATTGGTCCTTCATCAGTTAAGTCCACAATGTTAATCAACCGGTTCCAAGCATGGAACATATATATTAATATTTGTGTCAAAGTAACAATACTCTGAGAATTATTCTATCCCAGTAGTTTGTTATATTGAACGAAAAACAGAAATTCATGAAACCCATTCTATATTTGCATCTATTGTTTAGATCTATTGAGTTATCGGTTGATGTTGATAGAACAGCTCATGAACTCATATCATTATTGGAAAAGGCATCTCAATTTCAAGCTGAATGGCGTCAATCATTAATCATAAAACAAATGATAACAAGATATTATCGTTTTATGCAACTAAAAGCTTCTTGTCCAAATAATATTCTACTTATACCAACATTAGATATTGAAATAGTTTGGCAAACACATCTTCTACGACCCGAAATGTATCGAGAAGATTGTATGAGATTATTTCATCGAGTTATCGATCATTCTTTACTAGCAACTGAAATTGAACAATTTTTAAAAGAACAAGCATTTATTGACACTTGTAAACTATATGAAGAACGATATGGAGAACAATATTGTCCATTACCAAAAGCTGAAGACAACGTAGAACCAGTTCCTAAATATGTTCATCCATTTTTTGGTTTATTAAAATGTGTTATTCCAATCTATTCATATTGGGATAAAACACATTTTACATTTTCATCAAAACCATTGGCTAAGTTTGATGAAAATCCATTTTCATTTACTGAAGCTGATATTATTCTTGATGGAAATTGGCTTGATTTATGTAAGAAATTTATGAAAAGCATGGTATCAAAAGTTCCTATTAGCGGTTATTATCGCGAATCCGATAAAATCGATCTCA